TCGCCCTGTAGCCACTGCTGCCCCTCACCTCCTGCACAGGCCTCCCTCCTCTCCTCCCGCCCTCACCTCCAGCACCGGCCTCCCTCCTCTCCTCCCGCCCTCACCTCCAGTACCGGCCTCCTCTCCTCCTCCGCCTCACCTCCAGTACCGGCCTCCCTCCTCTCCTCCCACCCTCACCTCCAGGACGGGGTTGCTCTGCAGCAGCTGGTCCCGCACAGCACCTCCTCGCTCGGGGGCCGGGCAGGTCTCCGCATAGAACTGCAGCAGCCTCTTGGTGGCCTCCGTCTTGCCTGCCCCGCTCTCCCCCGAGATCATCACCGCCTGGTCCCGCCGCTCTGTGCGCAGTGCTCGGTACACGGTGTCGGCCACGGCAAACCTGGGTCACAGGCTCATGAGGGAGATCGGGGACCAGGGCCCACGGAGGGCCACAGGGAGGCCCACTCCCACCCCTGGTGGAGTCCTCCAGGGTGGGGTCCTCGAGGGTGGGTCGAGCACATCTTTGAGGACGGGTACTGGGCTGTGTGGTCAGAGATGCCTCACAGTTGAGGGCGGACACCGCTTTCAGAGAGAGGACAGGACCCTGCGCAGGTGGAGTCTGCGGTACTTAGGTGGAGGCGGGAGTCACTTGCAGGGAGGCCTGGGAGGGCTTTGCAGGTGGGGTTCAGAAGCCTGAGATTGAGGGCCACTCCCGGTTGTGGGAGAAATCACGGGTGTGAGCTGAGGTAGGACTGGGTCCCACCCAGACAGTTGAGCTGCCACATTCATCTCTGGTCACTCTGGGGTGGAAAACCGCGGGATTCCTCACAGATGTGACGTGGGAGGTCAGGTCACCTCAGATGGGACAGGGTCACTCAGAGATGAGGGGGGACTTCGGGGTCACTCAGAGGTAGGGGGGACTTCGGGGTCACTCAGAGGTGAGGGGGAGACTTGGGGTCACTCAGAGGTGAGGGGGGACTTCGGGGTCACTCACAGGTGAGGGGGGACTTCGGGGCCACTCATAGGTGCGGGGGGGCTTCGGGGTCACTCACAGGTGAGGGGGCCTCGGGGTCACTCACAGGTGCAGGGGTGCTTTGGGGTCACACAGGTGCGGGAGTGCTTTGGGGTCACTCACAGGTGAGGGGGGCTTCAGGGTCACTCACAGGTGTGGCGGGGCTTCGGGGTCACTCACAGGTGTGGCGGGGCTTCAAAGTCACTCACAGGTGAGGGGGGCTTCAGGGTCACGCACAGGTGTGGGGGTGCTTTGGGGGCACTCACAGGTGCAGGGAACTTCGGGGTCACTCAGGTGAGGAGGGCTTTGGGGTCACTCAGGTGCGGGGGGCTTCAGGGTCACTCACAGGTATGGGGGGGCTTCAGGGTCACTCACAGGTGTGGGGGGACTTCGTAGAAACTGACACCGCGGTACCGCTCCATGTGCTGCCGGCTGTAGATCTGCAGGTCCCGGTAGGGGTTGATGGAGACCAGGACGGGGCCGATGTAGGTCTGGGGTCAGGCGAAGAGGGCCAGACGCTGACCTGCTGACCCGGGTGCCTCCCTCCTGCCACCCCGTCTGTGCCCCCAGCACCCCACTGGTCTCCCCAGCAGCCTCACGTAGATGAGGTTCTCCCGGAAGCGCCTCCGCAGGTTCTCGATGAAGGCAGCCTCACTGGTGAAGTTCTCCAGCAGCACGAAGTCCTGCACCCCCACCCGGTCCCGGGCAGTCAGCCCGCTCTCCATGGTCACCCGAACCCCGTCACTACCCAGGGCCTGTAGAGAATGGGCCATGGAAGAGAGTCAGAGCCATCAGAGTGGGGCAAGGCCACGTCTCCACTCCACTGCACCTGCGGGACTGGGAGGGAATGCAGGGACTAGTGGACTCTGCTGGATATGGGGTGTGAGCATGCCGGGTTTGGAGGGCCTGGGTGTGACGGTACGGGGGTGCAGGTGCGGAAGGAGTGGGTGCGGAGGGTCTGGGTGTGGGTGCTGAAGGTCTGGGTGTGGGTGGTGTGGGTGCGGGCAACGTGGGTGCGGGGGTCGTGGGTGCAGAGGGTGTGGGTGCGGAGGGTGTGGCTGTGGAGGGCCTGGGTATGAAGGGTCTGGGTTTGGGAATCATGGGTGCAGAGAGTCTGGGTGCAGAGGGCGTGGGTGCAGGGTCCCGGGTGCGGAGGGCATGGGTGTGGGGGGGCCTGGGTGTGAAGGGTCTAGGTTCGGGGATCATGGGTGCAGAGAGTCTGAGTGCAGAGGGCATGGGTGAGGGGGGTGTGGGTGTGGGGTCCTGGGTGTGAAGGATCATGGGTGCGAAAAGTCTGGGTGCAGAGGGCGTGGGAGCAGGAGGCCTGGGTGCGGGGGCGTGGGTGCAGGCGAGCTGGGTGCAGGGGACGTGGGTGCGGGGAGCGTGGGTACCTGGTCCTGGGTGTGGACGGCCTGGGTGCGGAGGGCGTGGGTGTGAAAGGTCTGGGTTTGGGGGTCATGGGTGCAGAGAGTCTGGGTGCGGAGGGCGCGGGGGCGGGGGGCGTGGGTGTGGAGGGCCTGGGTCCCAGTGTGGAAGAAAAGGGATCGCCAACGATGTGAGCACCCAGAGCAGAGACCACACAGGCCACGACACACACGGGACCAGAGGACTCGGGGGCAAGGCCGCCGAACCTGGGAGGCGCTGGTTTTGGATGAAGAAAGCAGGGTCGCAAGAAGGAACTGCTTAAAGAATGATCTGTTGACCTTGGGCCAATCCCTTCCTCTCTCTGGGTGGTTTCCTCCTCAAGGAGGAGTTTAGTTAGACCAGGTGACCTCAGGTCCCTTAGTTCTAAGCCACGTGTGACAGGTGCTTTGGAGGACAAATGGCTCAGGGTAAATTCTGCAGGCAGGGTGGGGCCTCCTCTCCGCCGGGACCCACCCACATGTCCACAGCAGAGCAACAAGTGACTCCCAGACCACAGCACGGGGCTTCCCTGAGGGCCTCCCGCCCCCACGAGGCTCAGCTGCCCACTCCAGAAGGCAGCCAGAGTGGGCCCGGTGGGCCCCTCCCTTCGCTTCCCTCCGGCTGCTGGGCTCCCCAGGCGCCTCCTCCACGGAGTCCTGAGAAGCCTCAGGGGTGGGGGTTTTCCCAGGCGAAGCCAGCGCCCTCTGGGTCCCACTGGAGGGTGAGCGGGGTACAGGCCCCCCATCCAAGGCTGAGATTCCCCTTCAAAGAGGGTCTGACGGCTCCAGGAAACAAACGCCCAGAGTGTCAAGGCTCAGAGAAGCGCAGTGTTTTGACTCCTCGCGGTGGAGGGGGGGGAGGGGGAACCCCGCGGAGGCCTCGGGTCTCCTCAGATCGCGAAGGGCCCACACCCTGGCCTGGGGCTTTGCTTGGGCCCCGGCCTCCAATCCCGCCCCAAATCTGGCCGCAGTCCCGCCCCTCGCCCTCGGGTCGGGGGTCTCCGCGTCCTCAGAAGCCCCTGCAGCGCCGCATCCCCCTCCTCCGGCAACTTCCCGGGACGTTTTTCCACCCGGAATTCCCGGGCCGCGCCCGCTTCCTGGCGAGGCCGAGGCGGCGCCGCGGGGCGGGAAGGGGCGCCCGGGACCCCCGCTGGCCGCCCCCCTGCTCACCGACGCCCGGTAGCGCATCCTGCCCCGCCGGCCTGGCGCCTGCTCCGCTGCCCGCGCTCTGGGTCCCGGGCTCGGCGGCGGCGGAGGCGTCAGCGAGGGAGGGGCCGGGCCGGCCCGCCCCCCGCACCTCCGCCCACTCCCGCCCCCGCCTCCCGCGCGGCCCGGCTAGGTCCACTCCAGGTGGGGGCCGGCTGGATGGGGGGCCGGGGCGGGGCGGGGCGGGGTCTGCCTGAGTCAGGTTTTCCATTAGGGGCGGTGTCGGCGCCCGGGAGCAGCCCGGAACCCGCGCGGCCGCCGCGTCTACACCGACCCGGAACTCACTTCCGGGCCTGGGATGAAGCTCCGCGGCGGGGCTGGGCCGCGAGGCCCGCGGGTCCCAGAGGAAGCAGATCTCCCTCCCCTAACCCCGAACTCCAGTCCCGGGAAAGTTAAAAATAGAACCCATGTCCAAATACGGCCGGCGCGCCGGGCAGGCGGAGCGTTTTCCGCGCGGGACCCCGTCCAACTCCCACGCGCGCCGGGCTGAGCCCGAGCCTCGAACTCAGGGAGATCTCGGTTCTCCTCGTCAGCGCGGAGCGCGCGCCCCGGGGAGAGGGACGGCCCCGGGGAGCCCCGGCAGAGCGCGCTGAGTCCGGGCCCCTCTGGAGACCGCAGTTCTCATCTGGGAGATTCGCGCTCCACCCCCACCAAAGGCATTTGAGGCCCACAGACTCCCCAGCCGGGACACCCCACTCGCCTCCGGGCCTAGGCCTCCGCCCTCCCTCCCGCTCTCTTCTGCAGGGGCCTTCCTGGTCCCTCTGTACCCCTCACGGCCCAGCCCAGGACGCCCCCACCCCGACCCAGCCTCGGCTGCCCCCGCCCTCCTCCGCGGGGGGCGAACCCTGGCTCAAATCCCAGCGCGGGCGGGGCGGGACGCCTAGAGCCGGCCGGAGGCTCAGCGGGTTCTTCCCGCGGGGGGACTGTGTACCAGAGTCCCCAAAGTCACTTCACTTTTCCGCTCCAGGCCCAGGAGGGCCGCGGGGTGGGTGGCCTGAGCCTGAGCGCGAAGGGACCTCCCAGGCCCTCTGTAGACCCCGCCGCCCTGCCTCGGCCGGACACTCGGTCCTCACTTGCAGAGACCCACTAAGACCCAGGCCCGGGGACACGCTTCCGTTCCTGCAGGGAAACCTCGGACGCGCACCTGCCCCACGCCTGAACACAACGGCGGACACGGACTTGCCCTGGGGGAGAAGCAGAGCCAGGACCCAAAGCCCCATCGCGCCCCGCCCCGCCCATGTCCGCGAACCCGGCTCCCTGGGGACAACGCAGCGGGCTGCATCCCAGCGGGGAAGGGAAGGCTCGTTACTGCAACAGCAGCAGCCCGGCCGGAGCGGCGGCCCCGGAGCTGGGGCGCCAGCTGTGGGGCCGGGAACGAGGGGGATAGGGGCGCCTCGGACAATGTGTGGGGAGGAGGCGCCCGCTGCGGTGTCCCCAGGTTTAAAATCCAGAGGCGGGGGGCGGGCGCGGTGGCTCACGCCTGTAAGCCCAGCACTTCGGGAGGTACTCGGGAGGCTGAGGCAGAATTGCTTGAACCCAGGAGGCGGAGGTTGCAGTGAGCCGAGATCGCGCCATTGCACTCCAGCCTGGGTAACAAGAGCGAAACTCCATCTCAAAAAAAAAAAAAAAAGTCCAGAGCGAGCAAGAAGACGACCAAGGGGTGAGGAGCGCCTTAGCAGACTGGCCCCGGGCGAACTCTCCCTCCCCTCAGGGCGAGGCGTGGGGCGGGACCGTCGGGGCGGGACAGGGGCGGAGCCTCGCGGCCGCAGTTCCACCCCGTCCCCCACGTCACGCGGCTGGAATGAGGGGAATCCGCGCGCTCAGGGGCCGCGCTGCCGCATTCCCCGGATGCCCGCTGGCGCCCCCGCAGCCACCGCCCGGCGGCGGAAGGAAGGGGCGTCTCCACGGCGGCTCCAGCCCCGGCAGCCCCCGCTGGCCTCGCCTCACTGGATGTTGGAAGCGCGAGTCGCGGCCGGGGAGGGAAGCGTGGAACCCGGGAGTGAAAGACGCCGCGACCGAGGCTGCAGCGCGACGCTTCCCGCATTCCCTGCGCTTTCTCAGGTCACTCCCTTCAGTCACCCCAGCCAAGCCATGAGGTCTGTATTATCACTCCAATGGAGAAGAGAACACTGAGGCAGGCGACTTGTGCCATCCCAGTCTCAGGAGTGGGATTGGAACCCGGGAACTCGGACACCTTCCTGCAGGGCTGCCCGGAGCCTCTCTGTACGGTTGCCAGGGCTACTGGGGCTGTGACCTTCAGTAACAGCACAGGCCCCAGTCGGTTCTGTTAAGTCACCTGTAGGCCTTACGGGTAGTAGCTAGGGAGTGGGCCCGGGCCTTTGGCTCCCTGCAGGCGAGGGTGCAGCCACGGCCCCGGTGACCTAGGAGCCTTCTCCCCGAAGGCTGCCTCTGGGTCTCCTCCCACCTGGGGAGGTGTTTACTGGAACCGCAGGGGATGGGCTATATCTAGTGACCTTCAGCTCATATAGGCCAGCGGGGGCCCACAAGCCTTACTGCTGGGGACAGCAGGAACCTCAAATGTTCCCCCAGTCTAGGGACCACACAGATCTTGCCCTGGGGTGGGGTGTTGGGGGCTGGGAGGGGGTGTCATCTGAGCACCCGGGACTGCTGCTATAAACCCATGTCCAGAGCCCCCAGGTGGTACAAAGACAACCTCAGCCTGTCTCACGCTGGTACAGCGTGGGCACAGAGCAGGGACTCAACATCTGTTTATCAAACGAATCTTAGATGGGCCTTCCTGCCCACCAAAGACCGTTTCAGGCCTCAGGGAACTGTTGTGAAGGGAAATGGGGAGAAAGTGGCGACTCAGGGTCCCGATGGCTCAGACTGCCTCAGTCAGCGCTGTCCTCTCTAGCTACACAACCAGCAAACGTGAACAGAGGCAAGGTGCAATGAGTGGCTCATGCCTGTAAACCTAGAACTTTGAGAGGCTGAGGCAGGAGGATCGTTTGAGGACAAGAGTTCAAGACCAGCCTGGGCTATGTCCTGAGACTCCTGCCTACCAAAGAGTTTTTTTTTTTGAGACAGAGTTTCGCTCTTGTTACCCAGGCTGGAGTGCAATGGCTCGATCTTGGCTCACCGCAACCTCCGCCTCCTGGGTTCAAGCAATTCTCCTGCCTCAGCCTCCCGAGTAGCTGGGACTACAGGCGCGTGCCACCATGCCCAGCTAATTTTTGTATTTTTAGTGGAGACGGGGTTTCACGATGTTGACCAGGATGGTCTTGATCTCATGACCTCGTGATCCACCCGCCTCGGCCTCCCAAAGTGCTGGGATTATAGGCGTGAGCCTGGCCCCAAAAAGTTTTTTAAAAATTAGCTAGGCATGGTGCAGTGTGCCTGTGGTCCCAGCTACTCAGGAGGCTAAGGTGGGAGGATCCGTTGAGCCCAGGAGGTTGAGGCTGCAGTAAGCCCTGATGGTGCTATTGCACTCCAGCCTGGGTGCCCCAGAAGACCCTGTGTCAAAAAAAAAAAAAAAAAAAAAAAAAAAAAAAAAAAAGGCCAGGCAAGGTGGTTGATGCCTGTAATTCCAGCACTTTGGGAGGCCAAGGCAGGAGGATCATGAGGTGAGGAGTTGGAGACCAGCCTGACCAACATGGTGAAACCCCATCTCTACTAAAAATACAAAAAATAGCCAAGCATGGTGGCAGGCGCCTGTAATCCCAGCTGCTTGTGAGGCTGAGGCAGGAGAATCGCTCGAACCTGGGAGGTGGAGGTTGCAGTGAGCCGAGATCGCAACACTGCACTCCAGCCTGGGGAACAAGAGCGAAACTCCTTCTCAAAAAAATAAAATAAAATAAAAAGCAATAAACCCATAACACCTTAACATAAATTTGTAGGGGAAAAAAAAAGTAAACGACCCAGGCGAGGTGGCTCACACCTGTCATCCCAGCACTTTGGGAGGCTGAGGTGGAAGGATCACTTGAGGTCAGGAGTTCAAGACTCGCCTGGCCAACACAGTGAAACCCCATCTCAACTAAAAATACAAAAAAATTAGTGGGCTGTGGTGGTGAATGCTTGTAATCCCAACTGCTTGGGAGGGTGAGATAGGAGAATCGCTTGAACCTAGGAGGCAGAAGTTGCAGTGAGACGAGATCGTGCCACTGCACTCCCGCCTGGGCAACAGAGCAAGACTCTGTCAAAAAAAAAAAAAAAAAAAAAGGAAACAGGGCTCCTGACCCCTAACCTGTACTCTCCCTGTTCAATGTCGTTGTAGAGAGAAGGGCAGCACTTTCAGCTGGTCATCACCGCCTGGGTTAACAGGCCTGCTCTCCACTCCACACACCATGTGGCCACACCCCGCGAACGCCTCACCTCCATCACTGCCCCTTTTCTGGCGGAGACGCTACCGTCTCCTAACTGATCTCCTTGCCTTCCTACTACCAAACCATTTCCCCTCGGGCAATACAAATCACATCAACATCCCCTGTTAATAGAGTGAAGGTTTACAGGGCGCCCTCCATGTCCCAGGCCCACGATTCACATCCGCTGCTTGTGATCAGGACGTTGCCTATGAACTCCCGAGACCCACCCCCACCCAATGCTGTCCTCGGTTTACCCCACTGCTCCTGCATTCCGGTGTGACAGGTGGCCCTCTCAGTCCCTTCTCTCCCCACCCGCCCCTCCCACCCACCACCTGCAGCCTGCCGGAGCGCGTCAGAGCCTGGACCCGCACCTGAGGCGCCCTCAGCCCCAGGCACTCCCCCCACACGCTGAGACTCGGCCCAGGTATCGCCTCCTCCAGAGTTTCTTCCTGATTCTCTCCGACGCGCGGCGCCTCCTTATCGCACCCAGCAGGAATCGACTGTTTCCTGGTGGGTCCCTCCCAGGAGGCTGCTGCCACCCCCTCCGCGCAGCGAGTCACCGAGCGGGGCTGGGTGACCCCTTCCTGGCCGCCTAGATGAATGAATAAATCTCAGGGCCCCGAGGGTGCACGGGAGGCCGGGGCGAGAGGAGCCGCTGGCGCGGTGGCCAGTCCCCTCCCGCCACTCTCGGGGTGCGCGGGGCCCCAGGGGCGGAGGACGGGAAGGGGCGGGGTTCAGGTCGCTCCTCCGGAACCAGAGGCAGGGCCGGGCTGCGTGCGGGGCCCGAAGGGCGCGCGGTCCTGGGTCCCGCCGCCCCGGCCGTTCTTCCCGGCTTCCCACCTCCACGGGTGCGCTGTCTTCACTCGGCTACGCCGGCGCTTCCGGGTCCCGGGGCCCCACCCGGGTCCACACGGCCGCTGTTCCGCCCCAGCGATCGCGGCGGTGACCTCCGCTTCGCTCCGGGCCTGGCCCCCAAGGCACGCCCGCCGGCGGAGGCCTCACGGGTCCCGCACGCGCAGTCCCCGCGCCCCGAGTACTCACCGGCTCGGCTCTTACGGCGCGGGCGGGGGCCGGACTGGGCGGCGTGGCAGGCTCGGAATCCGCGGCCCGGGCGCGCTCTCCCCGCCCAGGGCCCGCCGGGGGCCGGGCCGTGCGCCCTCCGGCCCCGCCCCGGCCCGGCAGCGTCCGCGAAACCTCGGTGCTAGCAGCCCCCGCCTCGGGCAGCTCCGGGCAGGCCCGTCCGGTCACGGCGAACACGCGCGCCCCAACCCCGCCGCGCTGCTGGGGCCGTGGGGGCGCCTGGCGTTCTCTCCCGGCCCTTTGCCTCTCCAGTCCCTTCCCCGCGGGCCGGGCCAGGGCCGCTGTCCCAGTTTCCACCTCCCACACCGTTCCCCTGGGCGGCCCCGGCTCTGTGGACCAGAGCGGAGCGGGGCATGCACCGAGCCAGTCCCGCGTGCCTGGAGCTTTCCACGCCCGCCTCCTGCGATCTCACAGCAGCCCTCATTTGCCTTTGTGCCCAGCATTCACAGTTGTGCCCACCTAGGTTCAGGGAGCTGGAGAAGAGTCAAGCACAGACCTCCACTTCCAAAAATCGTGGTGCCCGTGGCCCTTCCATCCTGACTCTTCCACTCACCCTGTCTGTTCATTCCGTTCGGCCCCTCCCCACTGCTCACCTCTTGCGGGAGGGCTTTGCTTGAGAGGGGCTGCCAGGCCCCGGGGAGATGCTACCACCCTCCGCCCAGCCCAGAGCACCCCAGCTTACAAGCTTGCAGGGCCTGTGGGGATGAACCACGCGGATGATCTCCCCGGTGGGTATCAGCTCCACTTGCAGCGCCATTCCGCCCTCGGAGACCCGGCGCTGGGCACTGGGGCCTGTGAGTAAATGCTGCCTGCCCCCTTGCTGGCTCCGCCTGCTCCAGGAGCCAGGAATCTGTGTCTAACGCCGGGATGGCCACTTGGTTCTGCTTCAACTGCAGCCCCAGGGGATGTGGCTGGTCCAGCGCCTCAGTACACAGCTGGAGCCGTCCAGGTCTGATTGGAGGCCTCTTGGCCCGGATGGTTGGAGCAGGAAGAGGAGGGGCTGGGATGGAGGAAATTCCTGTTGTCCCAGGTAACCAGAGGAGCCGATGCAGCCACCCATGGGGGACCCTGGGTTCCAGGTCAAAGGGTAAGACGCCTTCCCCCTTTCCCCCATCCCGCAGCAGCTCTCTGGCTGCCCCTCCTCCTGCCCACTCTCCAGTCCCAGCTAGAGAGCAGAGGGACCACTCCCCAAAGCAGGCCTCTCCTCCCCTAAGCCAAGAAGACCCCTCGGTGGGCACTGCCTTTCTTCACATCCCGCAATGGGGCCGCCTCCCACAGCAGGCGAGCCCCACCATGAGTGTGATGGGCGGGGGGGCTGGTCATGCTGGGCAGAGGGGTTGTTCCGCTGTGAGGAAGTCCTGTTTTACCCTCCTCTGTACCTCAGATGCTTGTGAGATTCGTTCTTGGGTTCCTGGCTGTGGGTAACCTCTAGCCCTGGGCATCCCCTGCCTTTCAACAGCACCCACAGGAGCCCCCCACCCCTGATGTTCCTGTTCTTCTATTTTCATTGTTGCTAAATCACAACAGACACTTTCCTGGCCTGAGACTGAGCCCTCATCTCCAACCATTCCTTATAGGAAGTAGGAACGGGAAAGTGGAGAGGGGAAACAGGCCTTTCCAGAGAGGCTGGCACGGGCAGGGCTGGGTCCCTCGGGCCTGTGCTGGCCCTGACAGCCCCAGAGGCAGGGGCCTCCCCCAGCACCCTTCTCTCCCACAGCTTCTCCTGCCCCGGAAAGGCGAGCAAGCCCTCCTTCCTTCCTTCCTTCCTTCCTCCGGGAAGCACATCCATCCCGGGCAGGCTCATCCCCGGTGGCCACACAATGGCCCTTATCGGCCTCAGAGCCAGGCGCAGACCCAACGCACACCAAGTCTCACATATTTCCTGTTTCCACCCAGCAGGTTGGGTGGACCCAGCATGGCCATATCCTGACTGGGCCCAGGGGACGGAGAGCACTCACCTTCCCCCTTTGCCTCTCAACTACTGCTGGGCTCACCCCTCCCACAACAGGAGGGGCCGAAACAGGAGGCAGGGTGTGGGGACTCCAGTTCACAACCCGGGAGGGAAGCAGGCGGGGGTCCCTGGGGTCAAGGCTGGGGTGGCATTGACCGAATGGGGAGGCAGGTATAGTGTGATATGCTTTCCGCAGCTGCTCTTCCGAAGTAACCTTGCGAATAGGTGCATCACCTGTACTTCACAGATGACAGGCCCCTCTGCGGTGGGCTCAGGCCCATGCCTGTGTTTCTGGTCCTGCAGGAAACCGCAGGAGCCTATAACTCTTGAGATCCGCCCCCTGTCTCCAGCTCTGGCTTTCCCGCCTGCCAGATGAAGCGACACGACAGCTGTACGTGCAAGAGGAACAGGTGGGCCAGTGGCGGCTCTGGAGGTCCCCGAGCATATGTGGGTGGCAGGGACAGGTCACTGTGGGGGAAGACTCAGCAAGGGTCTGGGGAGAAGTGGGGCAGAAAGAGACGGTAACAGTCTGGACTGGTTAACCAGGCAGAAGGCTCATGACTGGGGCATGAGCAGCAGTGGGCCAGGAGGGATGAACCAGGAGTTCCTCTACTCCACAGAGGCGGCAAGCCCCACCTGGGCCAGGACTCCAGCACTCCCCATGCTAGAGCCCCATCCTAGCCATATTTTAGCGGCATCTGCAAATCTCAGACACAAGCCTAGCTTGGGTCCATAGGGCCCTGTCCCTGGAGTCCAGCCGTGAGCCCCAAACCCCCAATCATGAGTCACACACAAGTGTAAAAGCCACACTTCTAATTCCCCCTGCACAATGTAACAGTCACAATGTTCTGGCCTGTGGGAAGCCAGGGGACGGTTCTGGATGGTTCTTGCAGCACAGAGCAAGTGCAGTGGGCCTCAGCCTCGGGACACAGGACAGGCACTCGAAGGCTCCCAGAGGCATCTTCTCTGGGAAAAGGGCTGCCGAGAGACCATGGCAAGAAGCAAGTGGTGGAGATGGGAACAAAGCCCCTCAAGAATGCTCTCTGCAGACCCCCAGGGCCAGACCCTCCCACACGTCTTAAGCTGGCTCTCCCTTCTGCCTGCCCCCACTTTGAGGTCTTGGGGGGTCCAGAGGGAGGACTGTCATCAGTGACTCTTGACAAGGGTGAGGCAAATGCACTTGACCTGAGAAGCACCATCTGGGAAAAGTCTGTGGCCACAGCTCCTGACCACTCGTCACCCCTTCCTTCCTCAGATGGTAGGCTGGAGGCATGGGACTCGAACTACCAGCAGAATCGAACCTGAATCCTTCCCAGTTCTCTGTTTGGGCTCTGGAAGTCCCTGGGTGAGCCTCCATGTGGTGGGTAGGGAGGAACACTGCTGGCTGCAGGGCCCTCATCAGCCCGCTTACAGCCATGGCGCAGGAGCTTGGCTGCAGGGGCCCCTCCATCCTGCCCACTGAGTCATACTGCTTTTGCTGAAAGCAGGAATCCCAGACCCTCTGTTCACTCCTCCTGGGGACAAGCTGTGAGACGCCAGGACTCCTGGAATCCAGCACTGCTGTCACCAGTCTATGCAGCCTGTACAAATGTGAGCATCCCCCTCCCAGACAGCCCGAGGCCCAGGATGACACGACAAGAATTCAGACCTGTGCCAAATGGGGCATGTGCCTGGCAGGACTACTTGGGCCAGACTAGCAGAGGGGGTAGGAATCCAGAAATAAGATCAGAACTGTCCCCAGGTCTACACTGTGGACAACTAGCTGGTCTCACTCACATCTCAGCAATAAAAACCTGTATTTAAGTGGCTAATTCTAGAGATCAGTATGGAGAGAGCAAAGGAGCCTGGCCAGAGCTCACTGTGGGAGGAGGAGGTGGGCGACACTTGGCTGTCTCTTCAGGGCAGGCTGGACTCCCAGCCCTCCTGCAGTGGCAAGGCAGAGCTAGCTGCCAGCTCTGGCCTCTGCCTGGGATCCACTCCCATCCTGGCTCAGATCTGTGGCTGTGCTTCACCCAGTGGGTCCTCCCTCAGGGAGAAAAGCGGGATCTGCGAGATAAAGCAGGTGGCAGAAGTGGGAGAGCGGGTCTTCCTCCTGCTTCCAGTCAGCCCATTCCCCCATCGGAGCGGCTCCTCAGGTGCAGGCTGGGTCCCAGGCCTGGGCCTCAGGGAACCAACGATGGGCTCAAGCCCCTCCCCTCCCCTGCCCTCCCCAACATCCCTTACCTGGAAGGGTCTGCTTATCCCCGCTACAGAACGCAGGTTGTTGCTGTAGTAACAGAGGAGAAACTCTTCTTCTGTTGCAGGGATGTTGCTGATGTCAATGTAAACCTGGAGGGAGGATCCACAGGACTGGGGTCAGCCCCAGGCCCTGGGCACCACCCAGCTCTGAGTGACAAGCTATCCAGCTCTGTTCCTCCCATGACACAGGAGTGCTGAGGCCAGCCTGCCTGCAGTGACATACCTGGTTCAGGTTGTTGCTGAAGGAGACCTGGTTGTCCCCAACCCAGATGTAGGACACGTAGTCATGAATGTCACGCAGCCCCACCTGTGGGGGGAGACATGTAGTCATGAATGTCACGCAGCCCCACCTGTGGGGGGAGTCGTTCGATCAGTGGTCAGGGAGAACATGGGACCTAAGGCAAGTCCTGAGGAGGAGATGGTCTCACTGCTGGGCCTGGCTGTTGTACTGGATGCCTCCCCGCAGCCCTTCACTGCCCTTCCATGCAGAAGAACCCCTGGGATGGACAAGGGCAGGTTCCTCAGAGTCTGCCCAGCTCCCAGGAGCCCTCGGGAGGGATGAACCTCACCTTGTACAGTCCGATCCAGTCCCACGGGCTCCTGGGGAAGTCTGAGGTTGAGGAGTAGCTGACCATCAGGTTGTTCTCCAGGGTCCACAGGTCCTCTGGCATCAGAACGATCAGTGGAGCAGACAGCAACGGCTTCAGCTAGACACAGGGGTGGAAGGGCTCAATCTGAAGCAGCATTCCCTCCTCAGAGGCCAAGTGATCCTCCCTGCCTTTCCAACACAGCGGGGAGGGTGGGGCACCCAGAGGGGTGGGCACAGAACTCCAATGGGCTGCTCCAACTGACCTTGGCTGGCCAAACACGAGTCACCGGGGTGGCTGGGCCTGTCAGGGAGTCACAGGGCCCAGCACTGAGGGGTAGGAATTGGGGAGAGCAGAGGCGCAGTTGAGAGGCTTAAGAAGCGGCAGGCAGCTGCTCTCAGGCCACTAGAGTATCTGACCCAAAGCCCCACCTGGGGGATGTTCTGGTGAAAACAGCTGTGAATGAGCAGGAACACAACAAAGAAACTAACTCAGGCTGGGCATGGTGGCTCACACCCATAATCCCAACATTTTGGGAGGCCAAGGTAGGAGGATCACATGAGCCCAGGAGTTCAAGACTAGCCTGGGCAACATGGTGAAACCCTGCATCTATAAGAAATACAAGACTTAGGCATGGTGGCATGCGCCTGTAGTCCCTGCTCCTAGGGAGGCTGAGGTGGAAGGATCAGTCACTTGAGCCCCTGCACTCCAGCCTGGGTGACAGAACAAGACCCTGTTGTGTATATATATAAAGCCAGTAAGCCAGTATGAAAATGTGAAGGCTGAGCGACCAGCCTGAAGGAGGCCAGCACTGCCTTGTTGAGACAGCAAGACACAAGGACGAAGGGATGGAGGGAGCTCCCTTTGCAACTTGATCCAGATAGATTCAGGACAAATAAAAGAAGGCCTACTTCCCACAGTGGGTAATAATCGTAATGGAACTCATTAGCCCCAAGGGAGAATACCCAAAGGAAATGGAAACCCTTTCACAAAGGGTTAGAACACGTTTTTGACAGAGCCATCAACGGCTCCTAAGAAGAGCTGGGATATCTGACCTGGGGGAAAGGCAATCATGGCCTCCACAGGCCTCCCTGGGGAACTGGCTGACATTAGAATGCAAGGATGGAGGGCTGGGGATGGGGCCCAGCACAGCAATTCCTCTGGCAAGTATCAGGCAGCCCTGAAGTTCACCTCCAAGTCGAAAGTGCCTGCAACAGGCTTATGGTCACTGATGGTGTACGTCATGTAGCTGCCATAGCTCCTCTGAGACAGGGAGAAGTCTGGGGCTGGCAGTCCAGTGGTGTGGGGGCCGGCCTGGGGCTGCCGCTTCAACCTCCACAAGATGCGGTCTGTCCATGCGGGCTTTCGTTTCTTCTCACTGCAGGGTTGGGGGGATGAAGAGGAAGAATGGGCGGGCATAAGAGCAGAAATGAGCCCACAGGAGCTTGCTGGAGCCCCTAACTCCGGCATCTACTAGCAGCCACAGAGCCCTGGGCCAGAGCTGGAGGGAGCGTGGCAACAGGCAGGGAGGTGCCCAACGGAACCAAAGGGGTGCTGGCCCTCATCAGGCTTCGCCAGGACCCTCTGTCTAGCTCACATTTTATGGATCACAATCAATTTATATTGTGACTTAGAAACACTACATTTCAAAGCTTTGCTTCTTTCTTGAGCAAAAGCAGCAGTGGATCAAAGCAGCTGAGGTTTGGAATTTTGAAGCTGGACGGACCTGAGCTTGACTCTGGCTGCCCTGCTTACTAGCAGTCTATCTCAGGAAAGGGAAGGAAGCATTTAGGAAATGCTTAGAGATGTAGCTGGGACTACAGGTGCATGACAACCATGTCTGTCTTGAATTGCTGGCCTCAAATGATCTTCCCATCTCATCCTCCTGAAGTCTGGGGATGATAAGGCCTGGGCTACTATGCCTAGGTATAGCATGCTCTCTTTACAGGTGGGGAAACTGAGGCTTAGCTTCAAAGAGAAGCACCTTTCCCAAAGTCACAAGCTACAAAGTGGTGGAGCCAGGATTCAGGGCCAGCCAGCATGACCACAGGGCATGTGCTCCTCCCACCTGATGAACCCCTCTCAGGCCTCAGCTTGAAGAGCAGGAGCTGCCGCACTCCCGCCATGAGATCAAATACATAAAATGCAAAGTGAGCTCCCTGTGCACGCTGGCCATCATGATTTGTTCTCTGTCCACTGAGACCTCCCACCTGCTCTTCACCAGCCAGCTTCCCTGAGGGGTGTGAAAGAGGTCATATAGCCCCTGGAGACAAAAATGCTTTCCTCCTCTAGGTAACTGAAGTTGACCAAAAACTAGTCTCTGACCCAAGCAGCCTTCCCAAGCAACTATTGGAGCAGTTTCTAAGGCCAGCTTGGTCCTGAGGCCCTGCCCTCCTGGAGACTACCAGATGAGTCCTGCCTTGGAGTTGAGGTGCATGTGTGGTAGGGGGAACATGACAGCTGCTATTTCTGGGTTCCCTCCCCTTGGTGGACAATTCCCTTTCTTGAATGAACCCAGAGTAATAAAGCCTGACAGGATCAATCAATCAATCAAGAGACAGGATGTCACACACTATCTTATCCATCATTTAACAGGGCCTTGAATAGCTAGCTAGCTAGCTATCAACAAGCAGGGTCTCGCTCTATTGAATCCTATCTATCTATTAATCGATGGATTGACAGGGTCTTGCTCTGTTGGCCAGGCTGAGTGCAGTGGCACAGTTGTTAACTCACTGTAGCTTCAAATGCCTCAGCTTCAAGCAATCCTCCCACCTCGGCCTCCTGACCAGCTGGGACCACAGGCCTGTGCCAGAGCACTGTTTAAAAACCTTCAAGGAGTCTCCATTGCCTCCAGAATTAAGTCCCCAAATAGGGCTTTCAAGGGACTGAGGAGTCTGATCACACCCACCTTTCATCTCACACCACTTCCCCAGACCTACTCCACCTTAGTGCCTCTCTCAAGCCCCTGGACCTTTGCTCTTGCAGTTTTTGCTGCCTGGAACACCCTCCTTCACCAGGGAGAGGCCTGTCAAAGCCAGCCCGGACCTCGCCTTTCTGCTTCTGAAGTATTACCCGATTTCATTATATTGTAGTTTTCCGCTTCCTACTCAGCACATCACCTGGTGTGTGAACTCTGAAGGCAACGACTTGGCTCTCGGGGTCTCCTGTGTGTCCTCAGCATTACAGCAGATCCTGGCATGCAGATGCTCCATGACCAGACACTTTCTAAAATCCCACGCTCAAGCTCTCCCTCAAAAATGCCCATCTTGGGCCGGGCGCAGTGGCTCACACCTGTAATCCCAGCACTTTGGGAGGCCGAGGCGGGTGGATCACGAGGTCAAGAGATCGAGACCATCCTTGCCATGATGAAACCCTGTCTCTACTAAAAATACAAAAATTAGCCAGGTGTGGCGGCACACGCCTGTAGTCCCAGCTACTCGGGAGGCTGAGGTGGAAGAATCGCTTGAACCCAGGAGGCGGAGGTTGCAGTGAGCTGAGATTGCCCTACTGCACTCTAGCCTGGCAGCAGAGCAAGACTCCGTCTCAAAAAAAAAAAAAAAAAAAAAAAAAAAATGCCCATCTCCATGTTTACAGCTCAATATACTCATCATCAATTGGAAACTCTGTCTCCTCCTTTATTTTTTTGAGATGAAGTCTCGCTCTGTTGCCTAGGCTGGAATACAGTGGCGCAATCTTAGCTCACTGCAACCCCCGCCTCCCTAGTTCAAGTGATTCTCCTGCCTCAGCTTCCCAAGTATCTGGGACTACAGGCATGCACCACCATGCCTGGCTAATTTTTGTATTTTTAGTAGAGACGGGGTTTCACCATGCTGGCCAGGCTAGTCTCAAACTCCTGACCCTGTGATCTGCCCGCCTCAGCCTCCCAAAATGCTGAGGATTACAAGCATAAACCACCATGACTGACCTATTCAACTGCTTTTTTTTTTTTGCGATGGACTTTTGTATTTGTTGCCCAGGCTGGAGTGTAATGGCACCATCTTGGCTTACCACAATCTCCACCTTCCGGGTTCAAGCGATTCTCCTGCATCAGCCTCCCAAGTAGCTGGGATTACAAGCATGTGCCACCATACCCGGCTAATTTTATTTTTGTATTTTTAGTAGAGAAGGGGTTTCTCCATGTTGGTCAGGCTGGTCTCGAACTCCCAACCTCAGGTGATCCACCTGCCTCGGCCTCCTGAAGTGCTGGGATTACAGGCGTGAGCCACTGCGCCCAGCCTTCAAGTGCTTTTTTTTTTTTTTTTTTTTTTTTGAGGCAGAGTCTCACTCTATTACCCAGGCTGGAGTGCAGTGGCGAAAACTCGGCTCACTGCAACCTCTACATCCTGGGTTCAAGTGATTCTCCTGCCTTAGCCTCCGAAGTAGCTGGAATTACAAGCACCTGATAGCATGCCCAGCTATTCTTTGTATCTTTAGTAGAGAGGGGGTTTCACCATGTTGCCCAGGCTGGTCTCAAACTCTTGACCTTGTGAGCCACCCGCCTCAGCCTCCCAAAGTACTGGGATTACAGGTGTGAGCGCCTGGCCTGCTCAACTGCTATCTTACTGTTTTTTTTAGTTTTTGAGACAGTCTCGTTCTGTAGCCAGGTTGGAGTGCAGCGGTGCAATCTTGGCTCACCGCATCCTCTGCCTCAAGTGATAAGTGATCCTGCTGCCTCAGCCTCCCAAGTAGCTGGGACTGCAGGCACGTGCCACCATGCCCAGTTAAGTTTTTGTATTTTTAATAGAGACAAGAGTTTCAACCTGTTGGCCAGGATGGTCTCCATCACCTTATAAACTGCCCACCTCGGCCTTCCAAAGTGCTAGGATTACAGGCATGAGCCACTGTGCCCGGCCTCAACTGCTATTTTAAGTAAACTTTCCCAGTGTACTGTTGTCCCTTTAACAGCAATAGAGTAAGTATTCCAGAAATGGTGGAGAATGGCCACAGTGGTGACCTCAGACTTTAGAACTGGAGGCCATCTGGGGAAGGCTCTGTCCTGTTAATTAAGAGCTGTATGCCCCTGGGCAAATGACTTCATCTCTCTAAGCCTGTTTCTTCAGCTGTTAAGATGGGGTGATAACAGTACTGACTTCAAAGAGCAATGAGGAAATTAAAGAGCGTCAGGGGCCGAGCGCGGTGGCTTATGCCTGTAATCCCAGAACTTTGGGAGGCAGAGGCAGGTGGATCACGAGGTCAAGAGATCGAGACCATCCTGGTCAACATGGTGAAACTCCGTCTCTACTAAAAATACAAAAAAATCAGCTGGGCATGGTGGCGCGTGCCTGTAGTCCCAGCTACTCAGGAGGCTTAGGCAGGAGAATTGCCTGAACCCAGGAGGCAGAGGTTGTGGTGAGCCAAGATTGAGCCATTGCACTCCAGCCTGGGTAACAAGAGTGAAACTCCGTCTCAAAAAAAAAAAAAAAAAAAAAAAAAAAAAAAAAAAAAAAAAGCGTCAGGGAATGGTTGGGAAGTGGTAACTGACCCAACTGGGGTCTGCTTGCTGGCTCCTTGGTTTGTTCCCAACCTTCCACTCTTCTGAGGAGTGCTCTGAGGGCACTGGAATGTGCTGTCCCCATCCCAGAGACTACAGATGCTGCACCCCTGAATCTGCCATGGACACTGGTGCCTAGAATGCTTAAAACCCAGTAATGAACTACATTACTGCCTTCCCTCCAAAGCGCTCTCCCTCCCTAGCTGCCCTGTGATGGGCTGGAGCCCATACCTGCTGCCACTGAAGGATTCTCCCCAGGTCCTGACCACAGTCTCTCTCTCCTTCCTCCTCAGGACCTCTCCACCTGCCCCTGCCCCCATCGCCTTTTCCTTTTCCTTGCCCCGGCCAGGCTGATCACTGGGCACCTATATTGCTCATTTTTTCAACCAAGATTGACTTAGCGATTCCACACGCCCCAAAGTTGGAGATATGAGAAACAGGGCGGACATGGTCCTTGACGAGCTTGTTGAACAAAACCCAAGAAACAATCAAAGTGAGAGTGTACAGATTCACCAAATTCCCTCCACTCCACCTTGTAATTTAGAGACAGGGTCTTGCTGCCACCCAGGCTGGCGTGCAGTGTTGTGATCGTAGCACTCTTCAACTCCTGGGCTCAAAGGACCTTCCTGCCTCAAGCCTCCCGAGCAGCTGGGACGTCAGGGGTACACAGCACGCCTGGCTATTATTTTTAGACAGGGTCTCACTCTGTTGCCTGGGCTGGAGTGCAGTGGTGTGATTACAGCTCACTATAGCCCAACTTCCTGGACTCAAGCGATGCTCCCGAGTCTCCTGAGTAGGTGGGACTGGGACTGTGGGCGTGTCCTACCATGCCCAGCTAACTTTTTTTCTTTGAGATGGAGTTTTGCTCATTACCCAGACTGGAGTGCAATGGCGCGATCTCGGTTCACGGTAACCTCCGCCTCCTGGGTTCAGGCAATTCTCCTGCCTCAGACCCCTGAGTAGCTGGGATTACAGGCACACACTACCATGCCCAGCTGATTTTTTTGTATTTTTAGTAGAGACGGAGTTTCACCATGTTGACCAGGATGGTTTCCATCTCTTGACCTCGTGATCCACCCGCCTCGGCCTCCCAAAATGCTGGGATTACAGGTGTGAGCCATCGTGCCCGGCCCAACTTTTGTATTTTTTATAGAGATGGGATTTTGCCATGTTGCCTAGGCTGATCCTGAACTCCTGGGCTCAAGTGATCGTCCTGTCTCTGCCTCTCAAAGTGCTGGGTTTAGAGGTGTGAGCCACCACACCTGGCCTGTAAAAAAAATATTTGTAGGGGGAAGGGTCTATGTTTCATGGGCTCCCATTTCTAATAAAAGTAGTAACTAAAAATTGGGTAGTTCTGGCCGGACACGGGGACTCACGCCTGTAATCCCAGCACTTTGGGAGGCTGAGGCAGGCAGATCATGAGGTCAGGTTCTAGACCAGCCTGACCAATATGGTGAAACTCCAACTATACTAAAAATACAAAAAGTAGCTGGGTGTGGTGGCACACGCCTGTAGTCCCAGCTACTCAGGAGGTTGAGGCAGGAGAATCACTTAAAGCCAGTAGGCAGAGGTTGCAGTGAGCCAAGATCGCATCACTGCACTGCAGCCTGGGCAACAGCGGGAGACTCCATCTCAAAAAAAAAAAAAAAAAAAAAAAAAAAAAATGGGGCCGGGCAAGATGGCTCACGCCTATAATCCCAGCACTTTGGGAGGCTGAGGCGGGTGAATCACGAGGTCAAGAGATCGAGACCATCCTGGTCAACATGGTGAAACCCCATCTCTACTAAATATACAAAAAATTAGCTGGGCATGGTGGCGTGTGCCTGTAATCCCAGCTACTCAGGAGGCTGAGGCAGGAGAATTGCCTGAACCCAGGAGGCAGAGGTGAGCCGAGATCGCACCATTGCACTGCAGCCTGGGTAACCAGTGAAACTCTGTCTCGGAAAAAAAAAAAGTTTGTCTACGGCTGGGCACAGTGGCTCACGCCTGTAATCCCAGCACTTTGGAAGGCCAAGACAGGTGGATCACCTGAGGCCAGGAGTTCAAGACCAGCCTGGACAACATGGTGAAACCTTGTCTCTACTAAAAATAGAAAAAATTAGCCAGGTATGGTGGCGCAGGTAATTGCAGGTACTTGGGAAGCTGAGGCAGAGAATCGCGTGAACCCGGGATGCAGATGTTGACGTGAGCAAAGATCATGCCATTGCATTCCAGCTTGGTGACAAGCGTGAAACTGTCTCAAAAAAAAAAAAGAGTACGTTTCTCTGGGCTCATAGGGGCAACTGTAACAAAACTCCGGTGTAATCCTGGACTTGAGCAGGATTTCCGCCCTGCCCTATGAGGAGCTGGCTCATTTCTCATTACATCTTGGCTTGGGGACACTGGAATGGCTGGCCCAGCACACTGACACGCAGTCCCTTCATCAAACCGGGACCCGCCAGGCTCTGCGGTCAGGCCCTCCAGGTGCCTCTCGTCAGTGTGCTGATGAAAAAGCCTGCCCTTCTACTTTCTGCCAAGCTCTGCTGCCTCCTTCAAGATACTCTCCTTGACAGGAAATCTGACAGGCTTCTCCAGCTTTACTGTCTACCACCTAAGGAACATTTGCTCCAACCTTCTGCACGGAGTCCTGGAAACCCACTAACTTCCAGGCTTGGTACACATGCCAGGCACTGTGCTACTGCCAGGGATGGCCCTAAATCAGATAATCTCTGCTATCTGGGCAATCACAGGACAGGAAGAAAGGCACAGCATGTCTTCAAAGCAACACTGGAAGCATGGTGTGTGCAAGCAGGAGAGGGGGCAGCGCAGGCAGGAGAGGAACCCTCAGTGAGATGGGGTCAGAGAGCCGTCTTAGGAGAAGTGATGTCTCAACCTGGTTTGCAAGGATAAAGTCAGTTTCATTAGAAAGGACTATCTCTGTTCCCCAGGTGGGCTCAGGCCCTGCTCACTGCAGGAACTCCCAGCTGCTTCTGGACCCTGGCCCCTGCCAGGAATAGTTCAGTTATGATGCCCCCTGGTCCTGCCCAAACCTTTCATTTCCTGGGCTCTGCCAAAGGGAAGAAACATTGAAGGCTCATGAGACTAGAGACACAGGAAGGGAAGGAGACTAAGGCTCAGGAGTCTAGAGACAGGAAGGGAAGGAGAGTGAGGCTCAGTAGTCTAGAGACACAGGAAGGGAGGAGGCTGAAGGCTCAGGAGTCTAGAGACACAGGAAGGGAAGGAGAGTGAGGTTCAAGAGTCTAGAGACACAGAAAGGGAAGGAGAGTGAGGTTCAGGAGTTAGAGACACAGGAAGAGAAGGAGGCTGAAGGCTCAGGAGTCTAGAGACACAGGAAGGGAAGGAGGCTGAAGGCTCAGGAGTCTAGAGACACAGGAAGGGAAGGAGAGTGAGGTTCAGGAGTCAGAGACACATGTGAGTTCCAATCCGCGTTCGATTACAAAGTCCATCACTCCTTACTATTTATTCTTTGGGACTCAGTGGCCTTATTTGTCAATAGTCAATAATAACACTGTCTGCCTCCTAAGAGCATGGTGAGAAATGATAAGGTGGAGCTTCTGCACATACCTGTGTGCCAGTCACAGTGAGCTGTTATTTGGAAATAGGTGCATGCCTCCCCTAGTGGAGCCTGGCTTCCTCACTGTGCCATCTTTTTGCTGTTGCTGGCAAGGCTGGCCATGAATCCTGAGGTATGACGGGCTTGAGGAAAGCACTGTGGGCCACAGAGCCAGAGAATTGGGGCTGAGCCACAGCTTGCCACTCAATGGCTGAGCCACCTGGGGGGATCCTCTCACTTCTCCTAAGCTCTCCACCCTTCCAGACCCTGCCAACTCCAGCCCAGACCCAGCTTTTGCAACAAGCTCTAGTGTCCTGGAGGTCTCTCTGCCATAGGGTTTCGAGAAAGGGACACCTGGCTACAGGGCCTACCAGCAGCTCTCTTCATGCTGGCAAGTTTTTAAAGAGAGGTTTTTTTTTTTTTGAGACAGTTTCCCTCTTGTTACCCAGGCTGGAGTGCAATAGCGTGATCTTGGCTCACCGCAACCTCTGCCTCCTGGGTTCAGGCAATTCTGCCTCAGTCTCCTGAGGGGCTGGGATTACAGGCACGCGCCACCACGCCCAACTAATTTTTGTATTTTTAGTAGAGACGGGGTTTCACCATGTTGACCAGGATGGTCTCGATCTCTTGACCTCATGATCCACCCGCCCCAGCCTCCCAAAGTGCTGGGATTACAGGTGTGAGCTACCACGCCCAGCCCAAATAGAGTTTTTTTTTTTTAAGACAGAGTTGCCCAGGCTGGAGTGCAGTGGGTCAATCTCAGCTCATTGCAGCATTTAACTCCTGGGCTCAAATGGTCCTCCTGCCTCAGCTTTCCTGAGTAGCTGTGACTACAGGCACATCCCAGTACACCAAGCTAATTTTCAAATATTTTGTAGAGATAATGTCTAACTACGTTGCCCAGGCAGGTCTTGAACGCTTGGCTTCAAGGAACACCTCCCCACGCATGGCCCCACCCATCCTTACTGTTCCCACCATAACTCTCATTGCTAATGGATGGCTGCAGAGACTGGCAGTCCCCCCGCAGCCGTGGATCAGGGCCAGCCAGCCTGCCGTGGCCTGCCCTCCTACCTCCTTTCCTGCCCGCCCTGTGGCCCAGGCCGGGTCCTGCTGCCAGTGCCCCTGCCTCTTCTTCTGGAGACTGCCCTCATCGTGACCCCACTGTCTTGCTCCACACAGCTCGATCGGCTCACTCTTGCCCTTTTCCTTGGCAAGTCTGTCTTTGTTGTATCGCTTCCAGAACCAAGCTTGAGTTCTACCTCCTGTCCTGGCCTGGCGGTTGAGATGTTTCTGCACTGGCTAAATACCAAAGGCCTGGGCTGTCCTGCCAGCACCCCGCGCCTCCCTTGCTGAGATGCTCCACTGAAACGAAGACCCTTATGACATGTAAGGCCTCTTCTTTTCTTCAAAGAGATTAGGGTCCTTGCCCCAAACTGGGTCAGGGACATGTTGCCAGAGGTTCTTTCTCAGGTTTTGGTGGTTGCTTGGCCCCTTCTCAGCTGCTTAGAAAGGTTTTTAGTAAAACTATGGCGGGAAGACATGGATCTAAGAGTAACAACAGCAGTTACCTCCCGTGGTTACTGGGTGCCGGGCACCGGGCTAGGCGTACACAAGGCCTCCTTTAATCCTCGCTCATCCACATCTCAAAGATGACAAAATCGAGGCCTAAACACTTTGTCTGAAGTCATAAAGAGCTGTGCTTCCAATTACCAGACTTGCGATCTCTGCATTGACCCTGATGAAATGATTTACGACTGCTTCATCTTCTCACATAGTACCGGACCCACTCACAGGCTGGGGCAGGGGTACTTAACACCAGAAACTGGCTGGGCCAAGCTTTCTGCCCCGCCTGGGGACCAGAAGGTCCTGGAAGTGAGGCCTGGGGTTCCAGAAGGTCCTGGAAAGCGGAGCCTGGGGTTCCAGAAGGTCCTGGGAAGTGGGGGCTGGGGTTTCAGAAGGTCCTGGGAAGTGGGGGCTGGGGTTCCAGAAGCTGAAGTGCAGTCTCTCCTACGTCAGGAGGCAGCTGCTGCACCCTCCCCTCTGGCTCCATCTGTAACCACCCCCCACACCTCTCCGGCCCTTGCTGGCACTGGCTTTCCACCCATGCTCTCTGAGGACATCTGAGATGGCTCCCACAGTCAGTGCCTTGTGAAGTGGGCAGGAGGCGGCACTCTGGAGAGGGGATGACTAGACCTCTTCCTGCCCCCCAACACTTTTATTCCATCCTGCGACAGCTCCCATCTGGTAAGCCGACTTCCTAGAGCTTCTGGCCCCCACTTTCTCCTCACCTGGTGTCGTAGTTGCTGGAGTTCCTATCAAACTTGTAGGTGGGTGGGAAGAGCAGGCGGCCCTCCTGGAACTCCCGGAGCAGTGGGTCATGTTTCTTGGCAATGCTGAGCTGCAGACAAAGTCACAGGCCCCATCTCCCAGCAGTGTCAGGCCCATGGCCCAGCACCACACTCCATTCAAGGAATCAGCACATCCCGTCACAGATGGGCCAAGAGTCAAGCACTGCCGCTCCACTTCCTCACTGCCTGGTGGCTACTCAGCAGCCCACCCCCACCAGAAAGAAGGTGAATCCTTTCAGAAATGTTACCAAGGCCCAGGGGAGGCAGCTGCTGCCATTTCCCCAGTCCTTAGACTGAGGGACCAGAGTTTGAACTCCATCACTAGAGGAGGTCACTAGCAGACATGCGCCAGAGGGGAGCCGGGGTAGCCAGGGTCCTCCAAAGGGGTAATTCACCCTCCAGGAGGGAAACAAGGCTGGAGATGGGAAAGACAACAGGACTACGATGGGCACGTGCTGAGCCAAGGCATGCAAAGCCTGCTGCAAAGCCCTTCTGCTTCCCTATTCTTCTTTTTTAAAGAATTCATTTCATGCCTGCATCTGGCTCCCTATTCTAGAGCACAGCTGGGGCTGTGACCCTGGCTCTTCCATGTGAAGATCAGGCACTGGCAGGCGTGGCTGCCTCACCCCTAGATGCAAGGTCCTGCTAGACACCCTCCCCCAGCAGACCTGGGCGAAGGAGAAGAGTGTCGAGGGTATCTAGCAACACTGCACATCTCACATGGGCCTCCACTGTGCGCTCAGACCACCCCTGGGGACCCTCCCTCACTCGATACCTGATCCTTCTCCCACAGGTCACTGTAGCACCGATTTTTAATGGATTCCCGGACAAAGTGCAACCCAAAGTCCTCGATGCGAAAGTTCATGTCTCCAAACCAGATAATGAGGCTTCAGAAAAAAGGAGGGCAGCCTGAGGATTTGTGATGAGGTCAGAGAAGGGAAACTGCTGGGTGGCTTGGCCTGCTCCACCAGAGGGCTGCTGGGGCAGAGAAAGCCCAAGGGGCAGGGGAGACGCCAGATGCCAGGGCACACATGGGTCCACTGGAACTGTGCTCATGGCTCCCAAACCACCATTCAAACCAAAGACACCCACCAAAGAGCCTGCTCTGGCAAACACAGAGCAAGCTGTGGCCCTTCCTTCCTCAAGTGGTCATGAGGAAAGGCTGAGGAGCCTTCCTGGAGACCTCAGGAACCACAGGGTCCTTGGTCTATTCCAAAGTGTTCAGGGTTTCTAGGCAGGACAGAGGGGCTGGAGGATGAAGACCCCCGGCAGGCAAAGCAAGGGCAAACAACAGACGGGGCATAAGGGAAGGGGCAGGGAGAGGGTGGGAGCCAGACTATTGACTGCTGGGCAGAGGATGCTGGCTTGGGTCAGTGAGGGGTAGAGGGCAGGGTAACAGTGTGCAGATCCAGGCTCACTCATGATCCAGGATGTTGGGAATATCTTGTCCCCCAAAATTCTGCATCTCCAGGATCCGGTCAAAGTGCTCCAGCCGCTGGTAATTGTTGGAAATGTGGGGAGGCAGGTGGCAGTTGATGATGCTGATGTAGTAGCCATACAGCTTCAGGCAGATGTTGACTCCTCCTTTGTTCCCCTGGAAGACAGGGACACAGAAGAGTGGCTGGACATGTCCCTCTTTTCACATCCTGGGCTTGAGGGGAGATAGTCTCACCTCCCGCAGGGTCTCCCAGGGACAGAAACAAAGCTTCCCACGTGATCTCTCCATGCACAGAGCCCAGGTTACCTAGCCTGGGCCTCAGGGGCAGCAAGGTCACTCTCACGCACAAGAACAGATATGCAGGGCACTGGGCGGGACAGAGTACCGAGATTCCTTCCCCCTCCTTTTTCTTTTGCCCAGCTCCACAGTTCCCAGCACTTCCCAGCTTACTACTCGGACAATAGCTCAGTCCTTACCCAGTACCCAAACAGGCCGGTGGGGGTGGATTTAGTAGAGAGAATCTGGAGATAGGGCAAATGCTGATACTTGGCAAAGACCAGTAAGAGGATCCCTTGCATACGCACGTGGGAGACCTGCAGGAGAGAGATGGTGAAGGTTGCTCATTAAACCAAACAGGCCAAGGGCACCCCTTCCAAGCCCTGCGCTAGGGACTCTGGAGAGCCCTCAGCTACAGGCAGCGTCCTGTCCAGGGTCTATGATATCCCAGTTTCAATCGCAGTTTCAAGCCTTTCTATTCTTCTCCTGAGCTGCCAGATGATACACTCTGGAAAACAGGTTTTAGATGCTGCTCCTAGGCCTGGGGATGGTGGGAAGAGAAGGCTGCCAGGGCACCCTGCCTTCAGTAGAGTGCCCCTGCCCCAGGGATGTCTAGGCCCCTCTCAGCAATGCTACCCTGAGATCCTCTGGGCACTCTGAGGCTGCAACCCTGGCTGGCTGGGACCTCAAAGAGGAACGTGAATGTAAGAGGACAGTGGCCAAGGGTACCGGCTTTGAAGTTAGATTTGGGTCCAAATCCTCGTGCTGATTCTTAGTATTTGACATTGAGGAAGTTTCTCAGCGTATTTTCTCATTGATAAAGCAGGAATCTCTCATAGATACTGTGGGGATTATCTGACAGCTATTATTTTTGGTTTAAGCATTCTTTTTTTTGAGATGGAGTCCTGTTCTGTCTCCCAGGGTGGAGCACAATGGCACAATTTTGGCTCACTGCAGTATCTACCTCCGGGGTTCAGGTGATTCTCCTCCTGTCTCAGCCTCCCAAGCTGCTAGGATTACAGGCGCCAGCCACCAGGTCCAGCTAATTTTTGTATTTTTAGTAGAAACAGCGTTTCGCCATGTTGGCCAAGCTGGTCTTAAACTCCTGATCTCAGGTGATCCACCTACCTCAGCCTCCCAAAGTGCTGGGATTACAGGCATGAGCCACCGCGCCCGGCCTGCATTCTTAAAAGAAGTAATATGAGAGGTTTCCAGGGTTCCAGAAATGCTCTTTATTCCCTTCCCCCTGGAAATGTTCTTTATCCACCCTCTGCCCCTATCCCTCCCTTTTTATTTAGAGACAGGATTTCGCTCTGTCTACCAGGCTGGAGTGCAGTGGTGCAATCATGGCTCATTGCAGCCTCAACATCCTGGGCTCAAGCAATCCTCCCACCTCAGCCTCCTGAGTAGCTGGGACCACAGGTATGTACCACCATGCCCTGATATGTTTGTTTTGTATAAAGAGGGTCTTGCCATGTTGCCCAGGGTGGTCTTGAACTCCTAGGCTCAAGCAATCTGCCTGCTTCTGTAATCCCAAAGTAAGTGTTGGGATTATAGGCATGAGCCACCTCGCACTGCCTGCTCCTTATCTAGATATGGCTGATAGTAACATGGGTACATATGTATATATAGAAATCCATCAAGGTGTACGCTGAATTTCTGCACACTTTTCTGTGTACATTACAGCTCAGTGAAAAACAATTAAGAAAATGTTCCCCCAAAACTCCATAACTATAGACCGTGTGAAGCTGGAGGTCCATATAGGCAATACCCAGGTTATGCCGGTGAGTAAGCACACATGTCCACAGGCTGTGCAGAGCAATTAGCTCAAGTGCCTCCTCTCTCATTACTCCTGATGCTACCCCGTAAGGAGGCACCACCCCTGTTTTGCAGAGGAGGGACTAAGACTCAGGGAGGCTAAGGAACTGGTAGAGCTACCGTACTATAGAACAACATCATGGACTAGAAGCCCTACTATCTGCTGCTGCAAAAGGTGGGGTGGGAATGGGCTGCAGCCAGTAACTCCCTTTCAGGTTCAGGTTGTCTACACCCAGCATCCGAGTAGCTGCTTCCGGAGAATGAAGTGTGGAGGCCAAGGAGGAAATCCCCAGGTGGGGAGCGTGTACTGGAGCCTTCCAGGAATTATGAAACTTGATCCTGCAGGCCACCAGCCCTAGCACAGCGGAGGAGTCAAAACAGGGGCACCTCAAACCCAGCACCGGGCAAGGGAGGCATCAGAACTTCCGCATGGGCAGGCATTGCTGCAGATGTATCCTTAAGCCTCGCTCCACCTCAGTCTTCTCTCTCCCACCCCCAAGCAGGATGACAGCAGGAGTGGAAGACGGACTGGATGGTGAGAAGCTGACTCCCAGGGTCAGGACTGAAGTAATGGGACTGATAAAGACTCAGGAAAAGTTTCAGGCTTAATCCCCACCCACAAGGCAGCTTTAGGCCACTGGGTTCCACTACAAAGACACTGGCTCACTTTGTGGAGGAGCAGCAGGGACGTGGGGCAGGGAGGGCACGGTGGGGCAGGACAGAGTTAGACTGGGAGAAGGGGTGGGGCTGTGGGAAAAGCAGCAGAGTTCCAGGGCAGGTTCTAGTTGGAGGAAATGGAGGGGGAGGAGCAGAGGATGGACTAGCAGGAGGTGGCTGGGGGCTACGGAGCCGTCCTAGGGGTCAGCCCTTCTCAGTGGATAAGGCTTAAGCAGAGCTCACCCCTCCACCCACATTCTTGGCTGGGAGAAAAAGGGCACCCGTTTTGGGTGCCAGGCCCTCAGGCTGGCCTCCCAATGTACCACATGGGTAGAAAGGGCTATGTCCCTGCCACAAGCTGAGCTAATTTCTTTGGCTCAATTCCACCCTACCAATCCCTTGCCAGTCAGCCGAGAAGCAAGGAGGCCTGCAGTCATGGGAAGGGACTGGCTGGTGAGAGAAGGGGTTCTGTCTTCTGGAAGGATCTAGCTCCCTGTCTAGAGAAGGAGGCCTCTGGGTTTCAACTGGAGGGGACCAAGGACCCAGGCTGGCATTTTCTGTCCTCAGCAGAAGTTCTAAACCTTGAATTCTTTTTTTTTTTTTTTTTTAAGATGGAGTTTCTCTCTTGTTACCCAGGCTGGAGTGCAATAATGATATCTTGGCTCACCGCAACCTCTGCCTCCTGGGTTCAGGCAATTCTCCTGCCTCAGCCTCCTGAGTAGCTATGATTACAGGCACGCACCACCGTGCCCAGCTAATTTTTTGTATTTTTAGTAGAGATGGGGTTTCACCATGTTGACCAGGATGGTCTCGATCTCTTGACCTCATGATCCACCCACCTCGGCCTCCCAAAGTGCTGGGATTACAGGCGTGAGCCACTGCGCCTGGCCCAACCTTGGATTCTTTACTCCCCATTCTGTCCCCTCCAAAGGACACACAGCTCTTGCCCCAGCACCCTCAGGCAAACAAGGCTGACAGAGTTCATTCTGAAGAACAAGAGGCATCCAGGAAACGGGGAGAGGGAATTCTGGCATTTCTAAGCAGCTGTACACCAGGTGCTATGAAGGGGAGTGTGTTTCCACCCTCAGGTGTGCGGGGCAGAACCCAGGGGAAGACCCAGCAGCCCAGAGCCTTCCTGTGGACTCTCCTGCGGGCTACAGATGCCCCAGAGTATGCCCACCACACCTGACTGACTCCCCTTTCCTAACCTCTGGAGCCCCAGAATTTGAGATGCATGTTTCGTATGACTTGAGAATACTGTATGACATCAGCACGTTAGCCATGTTTAGACCTGTTGGTTTTTTTTTTGTGTGTGTGTGCGACAGAGTCTCATGCTTGTTGCCCAGGCTGGAGGGCAGTGGCGTGATCTCCGCTCACTGCAACCACCGCCTCTTAGGTTCAAGCGATTTTCCTGCCTCAGCCTCTTGAGCAGCTGGGATTACAAGTGCCCATCACCACACCCGGCTAAGTTTTGTATTTATAGTAGAGGCGGGCTTTCATCATGTTGGCCAGGGTTGACTCGAACTCCCGACCTCAGGTCGGATCCACCCGCCTCAGCCTCCCAAAGTGCAGGGATTACAGGCGAGAGCCACTGCGCCTGGCCAAGGCCTGTCAGTCTTGGAGTTCACCAGCACAGCAACAAAGTATTAGCAGTGAAGAACTCGGGTCATGAAGTCTGAAAGACCTGGATCCAAATCCAAGATAGCCCATGTGACTTCTGAGCCATGGCTGTCTGTAAAGTACCTCTATTTCAACAGACTTGATGAGGTTTTAGAGGAACATATATAAAGAGCTACTTATGATGTTTAACACCAAGTAAGCACCTGATAAATGACAGCCATCATTATTACACTCAGAGGCTTCAGGATGGGCATTTGAGGAGAGACTGGTAGCTAGGGCAGGGGCCAGCACTGAGGTGTTGACAAGCCTTGCTGCACCTCCCCTTAGAATCTTCCCAAGCCGAAAAATATCCAGCTGTTAACCTAACCCCTGGAGACTCAGCTTAGCTCTAGCTACTTCAGAAAGGCACAAGGCAGGCAAGAGTCCCAGGGATGCAGATGTAAGCAAGGTTTAGCCCTTTAAACAAATGGGAAACAGAAGGAAAGGCTGAGTAGGAGTAAGAACACATCAGACCAAACAAATGGGGGTCAGTGGAGAGGGGAAAACACAGCTCTCAGTTGTCCATGAACTTCCAGTTACCTTGATGAAGCTCAGAGGGGAAAGCGTATCCATGAGGAAACTGCTCCATGAGTCATTAAAGGCAGCATCGGAAAGGAGGCTTATGATTCCAGAGTTCAATTCCTGCAAACTGATCATGCCAGCTCAGAGGCTTGTCCCCGGCCTCCAGGGTGCTTCCCCTGCCACAGATATTTCATCCTGTCTTCACGGACTTCCGAGCCCTGAGTTGTGATGACCATGAGGTTCCCCTCCCCTGCCTGCTGATCGCCCACCCCTTGTTGTTGCTGACCAAGGACAAGTGACATGGGATGGGCCCAAAGCAGGCTGAAGGCTCCCAGCCCTCAGACTCCAGAGTGCAGGAGGGCAGGCTATAGTGCTTCCTTCCCCACAGGGAAACTTGGGACTGGTCAGGGATGGGTGAAGGAGCCTGCAGATACCTACCCAATGATATATATGTCAAGATTTGCATTCTGGTTGTTCAGCTGAAGCAGGTCACTGAGATCTAGAGGGGGTGCTGCTGAGGCCACATTCCAAGTCACAACGTGGATGCTGTGGAAGGGATGCAGGGGGAAGTCATGCAGGAAGGAAGATAAGATAGGTCACTGGGTGGGCCGGGCGCAGTGGCTCAAGTCTGTCATCCCAGCACTTCAAGAGGCCGAGGTGGGCAGATCACAAGGTCAGGAGTTCAAGACAAACCTAGCCAACATGGTGAAACCCCGTCTCTACTAAAAATACAAAAATTAGTTGGGTATGGTGGCGGGCTCCTGTAATCCCAGCTACTCAGGGGAGATTGAGGCAGGAGAATTGCTTGAAACTGGGAGGCAGAGGTTGCAGTGAGCTGAGATCATGCCACTGCACTCCAGCCTAGGCAACAGAGCGAGACTGTCTCAAAAAAACAAACAAAGATAGTGCACAAATGGGGTCTAGGCCTGCTCAGGTCACCATAATCCCCTGTACTCGTGATGGAAAATGCGGATTTCTGCATTGGTGGATGGAATGGGGATACTGAACGATGGGCTATCCGTCCTCACCTTTGTCCACTGAAGCAGGAAACCGCACCGCAGACTGGCTCCTCCAGGCAAGCGCACAGCCGTAAACAGCTGGCAGCCCTGGTGCTGCTGACATAGCAGAGGTGCCGAAGGGAGCCCAAGACTTCCGGGTCAGGCAAGGGAAGGTCAGGGGGCTGAATGGATTAACTCCATCAGCTCCTCCAGCTACCCACACACAACTTTGATCATCTATGGCTCAGTCAGCAACTTACCACCCTACTTTTCACCCCAAGTGTTCCTAAGACCACCAGGAAGATCCTGGGGACTCAGATTTTACCTTGTGCTAGGCCTCAGCACCACAAGGGCAGATGAATTTAAAACATGAAAGAGATAACAACACCATATTGCCTTCCTCTCTCCTCCCTAGCAAATCCCTGGAGCAAATCAATTTTGCCAAGTACTTCAGTGAGCCTAAGGAAAAGCTTCTTCTTTTTTTTTTTTTTTGAGATGAAGTCTCATTCTGTTGCCCAGGCTGGAGTTCAGTGGCATGATCTGGGCTCACTGCAGCCTCCACCTCCTGGGTTCCAGCGATTCTCCTGCCTCAGCCTCCCAAGGAGCTGGGATTACAGGCATGTGCCACCACACTTGGCTCATTTTGTATTTTTAGTAGAGATGGGGTTTCACCATGTTGGCCAGGCTGGTCTCAAACTCCTGACTTCAGGTGATCTGCCCACCTCAGCCCCCCAAAGTGCTGGGATTACAGGCCTGAGCCATCACGCCTGGCCAAGGAGAAGTTTCTAAGTAACAGGTTTCTCTGCATATGTCTTAAGAGTCTATACTCTATGGCTGTGTAGTATTGCATGAAAAAAGAAAAAAAAGAGTACTCTCTCTTGGGAAGTCTTTACTTGGATAATTTTAACCTCAGCATACAAGTCTTAGGGAGGCAAGAGACTTCCTAGGTGATCGGGGGCCTCAATGACACTGGACCCACTCAGAGGCTCAGAGGAAGGAGAGACCAGAGGAGGCCAACAGATGTCTTTAGTGGAATACTGACAGCAGCCTTACAAGCAGTGTCAGACTGTGCAGAGCACAGAGCAGACAGGAGCTACAGCCCCTGCAGAGACCAGCAACAGCTGGCCTGAGTGCTAGGCGCACAGTAAGGAGGAGGACCTGCAGCAGTTGGAGATTCCAATGCGGGGGAAGTGGGGGAGTGGGTGTGTAATGGGACTGGGAGAAAAGGGCAAATGAGGCCAAAACATCTCTTCTCCAACAGACCCTGCTCTTAGAGGTCGACGTTCTCCAAAGCACTTCAAGAAATTCTTGGCCAGTTTAAAACAATTTCCTGTCCCTCCCTATTAGCATAAACAACACCATACAGAAACCACCTTCCCAGGCACTCGGCCTGAGATTAAGTGCTTCATTTGTCTACGATCTCCCCCTGCTGTCCGACAGAGGCTTAAGGAACAAAGACCTTTTGCTCAGACTTATTTTCCCAGACTTGCTCTAAGTGGATGGAGAGCACAAGTCCAGATTTCTTGTTCCCACTCTCAGATCCGACGATTAGCAGCAAATCCGTGCATCATGACTTAGACTAAGTAGGCGATTAGCGCTGTTCCCCGTGAAAGAGCTGGCAAGAGACCAGGCTAAGTCACTTCACTAAAGGATCTTATCTCAATCTGATTGTGGATTTCCAGGGGTCACCGTGGAATCAGGCAGAACTCATGATGTATGTGCTGATGAAAAGTAGGAACGCCGGGCGTGGTGGCTCACGCCTGTAATCCCAGCACTTTGGGGGGCTAAGGCAGGCGGATCATTTGAGGTCCGGAGTTCGAGACCAGCCCGACCAACGTGGAGAAACCCTATCTCTACCAAAAACACAAAATTAGGCCGGTGTGGTGGTGCGCGCCTGTAATCCAGCTACTAGGGAGGCTGAGGAAGGAGAATCGCTCGAACCCGGGAAGCGGAGGTTGCGGTGAGCCAAAATCGCGCCACTGCATTCCAGCCTGGGCGACAGGGCAAACCTCCATCTCAAAAAAAAAAAAAAAGAAAAGTAGGAACGAGATTCCTAACCTAGAGCTGAAGGGTGACGGCCTTGTGTCTCTAACCTCACAAACCCAACACGGCGGTCCTCTCCAGAAAGCAACCGCGACACCCGATCGCGCCCCAGTAGGAACGAGCTTGGCGGCCTCGGCTTAGGGGGCGCGCGAGGCTCGGGCCCAACACAGCCCACCCGGCACAGGCCTGGGAGAATGTGAGGGCGTCCCTGAACCCAAGGCAGTCATGGAAGTCTGCAGCCTTGCCTCCAAGGCTGCGCCCACCAGCAGCCCGCAGTCCGCAGCCTGAGGGGGTCGGCGGCCGCCATCCGCCCCAGCAGGCCATCCCGCTTCCAGCCCCTCCTCACCCCAGCCTCCTGCCTTTCGGCCCGCTCGGCTTCCGAGAGCTCATGGCCGCCGTCGTCCCGCGCGGTGGTCCGGCAGCTCGCGTCTGGCGGCCAGAGCAGCCCCGCGGCCGGCCGGTCTCACGCGCCCCGCTGTCGTTGACTGTTTTTCTTCCGGACTCCGACCGCCCGCCCCGGCTTCAGTCAGAGACGGGCCACGGGCGCACCGCGGGCTCTCGGTGGTGCGGCTCGCGGGAGGAGGCGGGACTCTTCCACAAGCGCGAAGCTGCGAGAGGCTGAGCTAAGGACGGCTTCGGTGACGTCAGGGAGGCGTGTCTGGCCCGTCATCAGCGCACAATGCTACACAGCCGCAGCCGGCCCGGATGCGCGGCCTCCACTGGACCCCGCCCAGCCCACCGCCCACCGCCCGCCGCCCGCCGCCCGCCTCGCGACTCCCAGCGTGCCCCGCGCCAGGGGCCGTCTTCCGGCGGAAGTTGTCGCTCCGCCGCCGCGGCCTCTGACCCGCTCGTGAGGGATCCGAGAGTCCGGTACTTGTGCTGTCTTCGCCCCGGCTCACGGCCGTCCAGAGACCCAGTGGGCAAACGAGGGCCGGGGGTGGGGACACGCAGCCTAACCACCGTCCTGCCTGGAACCCGGCCTCCCCAGCTGCGAGTAATCTCCCACTCCCGTGGCGCCCATGCCGCTCCTGGAGCGTCTCCATTCTCCACCTCCACTTGCAGGCGGCTTTTGCCCTACTAACTGATGGGGTTGCCTATTGCATGTGGGACGTTTGGGGATTCCTAGACTCCTAGAAGTTTAGTCATCAATAAACGAGAAGGCCAGGCGGGGTGGCACGCGCCTGTAGTCCCAGCTACTCCGGAGGCTAAGGCCAGAGAATCGCTTGAACCCGGGAGGCGGAGGTTGCAAAGAGCCGAGATCGCGCCGCGGTACTCCCAGCCTGGGCGACAGAGCGCGACTCCGTCGCCCCGCCCCCCTCAAAATAACTCACTGCTTCCATATGGCCCGTTTTCAAGGCCAGACGGCTTCTATGTAGTCTGAATTCAAGACCAAACGTGAAATGGTTACTTTGCTAAAGATTCACTGTGATTTCCTTTAAGTCATTGTTCTTTATCAGTTTTCCTGGGTGGTGGGGTTATTTATGGGAATACTTTGACAGCACTTTCCTCAAAAAAATTGCAGTTTTACAAACAAGCTTCCTGTGGTTCACGCGCCAGGGAGCCAGGTTAAGAACTATTTTTTTTTTTTTGAGATGGAGTGTGGCTCTGTTGCCCAGGCTGGAGTGCAGTGGTGCAATCTCAGCTCACTGCAACCTCCACCTCCGGGGTTCAAGCAATTCTCCTGCCTCAGCATGGGAGCCCGCTACCAGGCCCAGCTAATCTTTTTGTATTTTTAGTAGAGACACAGTTTCACCATGTTGGCCAGGCTGGTCTCAAACTCCTGACCTCAGGTGATCCAGCTTCTCAAAGTGCTGGGATTACAGGCATGAGCTACCGGGATCGGCCAAGAACTACTTTATTTTTTTGAGACAGAATCTCGCTGTCACCCAGGCTGAAGTGCAATGGCGTAATCTCTGCTCACGGCAACCTCCACCTCCCGGGTTCAAGCAATTCCCCTGCACCAGCCTCTGGAGTAGCTGGGACTACAGGGGCTCGACACCACGCCCGGCTAATTTTTTGTATTTTAGTAGAGATGGGGTTTCACCATGTTGGTCAGGATGGTGATCTCCTGACCTCGTGATCCGCCTGCCTCAGCCTCCCAAAGTGCTGGTTACAGGCGTGAGACACCATGCCTGGCCAAGAACTACTTTAAATAAATGTTTTGCTTGCTTGGTATGGTGGATAAAGAGGAAAATGTGAAGAGGGGAGACAAAAACAAAAGGAAATACTGTCAGTAGGAAACATCCAAATTACAACTCAGATGTGCAATGTTTCCATAAGTAAATTGACAAGGGACTATTACAATTTGCAGAAATCCATGTGCAGAAATTTTCAGATACATCTTTGTGCCTCTTCCTAATCCTGCCTAGTAAAATGGGGGATATATCAGTGCAAGTTTGAGGAGATCTACAGTTGGAAAATGGACATCACCAAACTGGACTCCAGAAAGTTCTGTCTAGGATTTTATTAGACTGCTTTTTTCTCAATATACCTGTGTTGGAAGATTGAGACAAAAAGGCACAAACTCACGTTAAATAAACAAGATAATCTAATCAATTCTACAAAGTGTAGTTTGTAAAAGAAGTAGTACTAGGAACCAACCAAAATGAGTCAGGGAGTCCCAGCGGGGACTGTAAAAGGAGAACTTGGGAAGATACACATGCCCGCGGTACTGACCCTGTCCTGGACCTCTCTCCAGGAGGCCAGAGCCCAGCACTCCTCTTCCCCCCTGGCACTGCTGCTCTGCTGGGGCTGTGACCCTGGGATCCTCATGGAAGCAGCTGGTCTGAAGGGGCATCGCACACACTCATGTGCTACCCCTGGAGCTGAGCCTTTATTGTAAGTCCTTCTGAGTGCTGGTCAGTTTGGGGTGGGCGAGGAGGAAATGGGGTACTTAAAAGCAGCCAACACTGTTGCCCAGCAGCAGCACCATCCATGGGGATGGAACAGACCAAGGACATCTCTATGTTTATATGGGCTGGAGTTCCAGATCCAGGCTGACAGCTCATCATGGACGCTTTTAAACTGGGACAACAGGTGGAGGTGGGAGGAGCCCTCATTAGGGTTAAAGTGATATGTGTGGGTCTCAAAGAGCCAAAGGAGGGATATTAACAGCTGCTGACCCTCAAACCACTAACAACTGTCTGCCTAGAACGCCAGTTTTTCTTTCAAGATAACCCCCATCTGGACTTCCCCTATTTGATGAATGAAGAAGGGAACTCTTTAAGCACAAATATAATTAAGAGCTAATACAGAGGTTATAGGAAAACATTTATATTTTTCTCCAGTAGGATTGCCTCTTCTCCAACTTTCCAAGTCAGATAAATGCTACCAGCAGTTGAGATGCTACCCAGATGCCTTTAAGTCCCCGAAAGGTGAGGAGACTCACACAGAGGAAGGTGCCTGTAACAAGACATCTGGTTCCAAAGGGACCTCAATAAAGGTCAGAGCTAACCATGCTGGGGGGTCTGAGTCTGTCCACCCTTGCCCCCGGAGGGCCACAGGGAAGCATCCATCAGGACGTCGTAGGTGCAGTCCTGTGAGACACTCCCTTATTGCACTTAGAAATGAGTAAGGCAAACAAACTGACAAAAACATAAGGGTACATTATCCCACCCCACTTCTTGGTTCCCGGACAAAGATTTGGTCTCTCATTAGCAGATGCACCCAGGCTAGTGTGGGCTTGGATCATGACACACTTAGGCCAATATGCTTCACAAGGTTTGGGGAACATCCGGTGACACTACTGCTATCTCAGATTCTCCCAGAAAGAGGCATACTCAGGCCCTGCCAAGTGGTAGGGAACTGTGAACACACAGCAGCGTCTATGCCGCTGGAGCCTGGACTTCCTCACTGCCTGCTTTGGTAGAGTTCTGTACTATGACCAGTACGTGCTTTTGAATTTCCAGGACAGAACACAGCATGGGAGTAGGACAAGCTAAGTTCTTGATCCCCAAATTCCTTTCCGGTAACTGGAGATGGGGAAGAATGTTCTGGAAAAAAGCTTTTTGCATGCTTATATTGTGCAACATCAAAGACCAGGACTCTTGTGTCCTGACCCGCCTCAAAAACAGAGGACAGGGACCTAAGAAAGCACAGAGAAAAAAGGATTATTGCTGAGTGGCAGCACCAGCCCGAAAGGGAAGAGGAGGAGCATGGACTTACAGAGCTCCTCGGGGTTGGACAGTTGGCATTTAGAGGGCGACTCAATTCTAGGGGCCACACGGGACAATTCCCTACAGGTGGAGAGCTGACTGGGGTGATTTTGTAGGCTCTGCAGAGAGATTCAGAGTGGGCAACAGGAGGGCCAAGAAGCCACAGGTGTTTCTAAGAGAGCAGTAACTAAAGATTCAGTGACCGGGGCAGGTTATCTGCATTTGTTAAATTTTCTTAAACAGATCGGCTGAGCCTTGGGTACCTCCATGTGCTAGAGCGCACTAAGGAAGGGTTACTGGGAGTAGAAGTACAAAAGCACATTGCTATTCTGCAGAAGTGGGTAAAACAATGGATCTCTAGCTCATCCCCTCTCCCCACATGAGCACTCAAAATTGCAAAGATCTGCCCAGGAAGCAAATACCTCAGTTTATCCCAAGGCTGAGAACAAATGAACTTAAATCATTTAAATCACCATATCACAAAAGGCAGCTATCTGAAAGACTGAAAATGTCACTTGGAAATAAAGGTCAGGGGCACACACACAAATGGGTCAGAACACAATGGAGAGACGGAAGACCTGTAAATACAGCAGCCTGCATGCCACGTATGTGGGAGGAGCAGGCTTCTGCACGCGCGGGCTCTGTAATACCAGACGGTCTATCTGTTAACAATGTTAAAGGGCATCTAGAATTAGCTACAGGAATGGGCTGGAAATTGCCTGGAGAACGGGCACAGAACAGCTGCTTCTGAAGATGGCCTGTCACGTGGGAGGGTGGAGCTGCTGGGCCTTCTTGTTGACCACTGTCTTGCAAAACTAGAAGAAAATAAAATGATTAAGGAAGCAACAGGCACAAACGGACACAACTGTAAATCATCCTCAACAGGGGTTTCGAAAGGAAGGACACTGGCTGGTGGGCAGGGAAGGGAGTGGGGGGAGAGAGCACTAAGGCCTGAGCAGTGACTGGGAAGCTGCATCACACATTCTACCTAGTCCTACCCTCCTGCCCCCCATAAGCTGCTTTAAGAACACAGGCCAGAGGGAGCGAGCCAAGCCTGGCATCACGGCTGGTGAGATCCTAGGCCTGCTTACCCGCTAGTCTTAGAGGCCAGTTTTTATTTGTGAAAATAATTTTCTCTCAGAGCCTAATTGGGAGCAGAGCCAGGTTTCAGTGATTAAGACTGCTTTGAGCTGCTGGAATCCCATGAGTGGGGAGGTGTACAGGGCACTGGGGAACCAGTACCAAGAGCTAGAGGAGGAAGGAAGGGGCTTGGGGAAGAGTGACAACATGGAATAAGGGGCCACCAATCTGGGCCCATAACCTGGGCACCCTCCCAGAACCTGAAAGACGCCATCTCTTATGAGGGCAGCTTAGTATGGGATCGGGGGTATAAAGAGGAAGGAAATGCAGCACCTGACGCAACGGTGGATGCTGACAAAAGCTGTCTGGCCAGCAAGTTTTCCAAGGGGGAAGGGCAGGTCATGCCAGCATTTGGGAGCTAGGAACTAGTGGGAGGGTGCCCAGGTTACGGGCCCAGATTGGAAGGCCAGGGAGTGCCCAGCATGGCAGCTTCCACTTGAGATGGATCAAGTTGCCAGAGGGAAGAGTGATTAGCAGCAGATGAACCTGGCTTCTGTACACCCCACCCCCACCCCCACTTCCCACCACCCTCCCTGTCCATGTCTCTATCCCAGTGGTTCTTTGGAAAACGTCTCTGAAATGTCCCAATAGCCATCATTTCTTTTAGTGGAAGCTGAGAGCTGTTTGGTGGGGCAGACATCATTACTAGAAGGAAGGAGAAGGAAAAGGTTTTCTCACTCCATATTGAGCTGCTGAGGCCTTGAAAACACAAACTGATTTTACCGGTCTGTGACACACACAGTGAGAAATTTGGTACATACAGTGCAGAGGGGGAAGGGTGGCTTTAGTCATCTGCTGTCATTCCTTTCACTGGGTCCTTTTGTCTCATCTGAAACAGAAAAAGCAGGAAAAATGGAAGGCTCCTGCTGCTGATGAAATTCCACCAAAAATACATCCCGCCTTCTCAATCCTGCTAATAGGTAGGGTGGGGCATTTTTTGTGTACAAAGCAAAACACTGGAAGGACAGAATTCTGCATATATACTCCAAGCCATCCATCTCTCGCTCTGTGCAACTGGCCTCACCAGCATGATTCCTATTTCTCTTCCTTGCGTCATGGTGTTTGGGTCAGTTCATAAGCACTTCTCTCTTCTTTTGGTAGAGAGGTATGGGGTTGGGGTAGGTCTTCCTATGTTGACCAGGCTAGTCTGGACTCCTGGCCTCCCAAAGTGCTTAGATTACAGGTGTGAGCCACTGCATCTGGCCTCAACGAAGCATCTCTTTAGTTCTAAGAACTTCTACAGGGCTGGGGATATTTAGCTGTGCACTAAAACGGACCAATTCTCTCCTCAAGCAGCTTATATTCTGGGGCAGGGTAGGCAGAGAACAAACACATGAATATATGTCAGGTGGGACTAAGGGCTGCTCAGATAGAGAATGACTGTGGGTAAGAGCTATTTTAGGTAGTAATGGAAGCTTGTAGTGAGGTTTGAGAGGAAACCTGAAGAAATGAGAAAGAAAATCCTGTGGTGCTCTGGGTTAGGAGCGTTTCTGGCAGTGGCTCATGCCTGCAATCCCAGCACTTTGGGAGGCTGAGGCAGGCAGATCAAGAGATCGAGACCATCCTGGCCAACACAGTGAAACCCTGTCTCTACTAAAAATACAAAAATTAGCCGAGCGTGGTGACATGCACCTGTGGTCCCAGCTACTCAGGAGGCTGAAGCAGGAGAATCGCTTGAACCCAGGAGGTGAAGGTTGTGGTGAGCCAAGATTGCAAAACTGCACTCAAGCCTGGCAACAGAGTAAGACTCCATCTCAAAAAAAAAAAAAAAAAAAAAAAACAAAAAAGTGGGCACAATGTTGTGGCATGAGGATGCAGAGGTGGAAAGTACAGGGGCAGATCTGGGTCACAGAAGTGCGAGGCTGCTGGAAAACAGGACAGAGGCTTCTCTGGAAGCACCGAGTGGTCCCTGTCACTGGCACCTTCCAGGTAGAAGCAGATGTCACTTACTGAAAATGCTATATATCTGATCTCTCTAAATCAGTTATGACTTGAAAACTTTATCCTATTTGAAGAATGTCAATAACATAAGTAAGTGTTTCTTCCTGATCCATTAGTTTTCTGCTCAACTTTTGTTCTTTATAATGTTCAACAGATTTTGAGCACCTAAGAACATAGCTTCTAGAATTGAACTCTCTGGACTGTATTCTGTTTTGTTTGAGACAGTGTCTGGCTCTGTTGCCCAGGCTGGAGTGCAGTGGCGCAATCACGGCTCATTATAGCCTTGACCCCCACCCCGAGCTGAAGTGATCCTCCTACCTC